AAAAAAAAAAAAAAAAGAAAAAAATAGAATTTAAAAATGAAAGCGATTCAGCTGCGAGAGGGAAGGGAAAGCAGCCGGCAGCTCATGTTCCCTCCCTCCCTCCGAGCAGCGGCTCCGGCCGGCGCTGCTCGCCCGGCGCATCCCGGGGGGGCCGGCACCAGGGCGGGACCCGGGCTGGTCCTGCCCGCTCCGAGCAGCGACGACCAAAAAAAAAAAAAAAAAACTTAAAAAAATCCACATATAATAAAACTAAAACACTTCTCCCCACCGCAAAAAAAAAAAAAAAAAAATAACGGAGAAATCGCTCCCTCTCTCTCCGCAGGGGGAGGAGCGGCCTCGGCTCCCGCGGCGGGCAGGGATTCTGGAGGGATGGAGGGATTCTGGAGGGATGGATGGATGGATGGATGGATGGATGGATGGATGGATGGATGGATGGATGGATGGATGGATGGATGCTCGCTCGGATGCTCCGGGGGAGCGGCACGGAGCGAGCCGTGGACCGGTTTCTTTTTGAAATATGGAAGGAAAAAAAAAAAAAAATTCAAATCAAAACACCTGGAGGTGACTCATTGTTCGTGGCTGTTCGGGAAAAACTCCCGCTGCCAGCATCAACAGGAATTTGAATAAGCACAGTGAGTAATCCGGCCCTATTATAGCAACGCTTGGCTTTGGGGAGCCTTTCGGTGTCGCAGGTCCCTCCCGACGCTGCTCGCTGGATGCCAGGATCCGTTACAAGCCCCGGATCCCGCATTCATTCCCGTTCATCCTGACACATTCCAGAGCTGCACATATTCCCCTTCCTGCGCACACCTGCACCATCCTGCACAGTGGGACATTATCACTGTGCAAATCGAGGCACCAAGGGGGGGCTCAGCACCAGCACCTACAGTGCCACAGTGCCCGGTTAAAGCCTTGACTTGTCCCCCACTGCGAGAAAGACACCGAGGGGCTGGAGTGTGTCCAGAGAAGGGAATGAAGCTGGGAATGGAGCACAAGCCTGATGAGAAGCAGCTAGGGGTGCTCAGCCTGGAGAAAAGGATCCTCAGGGGGGACCTTCTGGCTCTCTACAACTGCCTGGGAGGACACTGTACTCAGGTGGGAGTCAGGCTCTGCTCCCAAGCCATAAGTGACAGGAGGAGAGGAAATGGCCACAAGTTGTGCCAGGGATATCAGGAAAAATTTCTTCACTGAAATGATTATCAGGCATTGAAATAGGCTGCTCAGGGAAGCACATGTTCAAAAAACACATGGATATGGCACTTGGAGACATGGTTTAGTGGCAGTGCTGGGATAACAGTTGGATTTGATGATCTTGGAGGTCTTTTCCAACCTTAACAATTCTATGATTATAGGGAGAGTGCCTCAGAATAACATTCTTAAAAACAACATGAGACATGCAAGCAAAAGGTGCATTTAAATCACAGCCTCATCACACTACCAGTTAATTGCTTTATTTCCAGAGCAGGGCTGCTTCCTTCAGCTCCTTAATGCCACCCTCATCCACTCCCCAAATACTGAATCCCTAAACCACTGCCTGTGTGGCAAGAACAAGAGTGATCCAAGCGAGGAGAGAGTGGTTTGGGTTGGAAGGGATCTTACAGAATAAAAGTTCCAAACCCCCTGCCACGGGCAGGGACACCTTCCACTAGTCCAGATTGCTCAAAACCCCATCCAACCTGGCCTGAAACACCTCTAGGAATGGGACATCCAGAGAAGCCATGAACCTACATTTGAAATGTTTGAAATACACACTGGGTGAAGCTACTGAGCAGGACAGAGGAAGCCCAGCCCCACTGCCCCTGCTCCATCCAGGCAAGCAGTGCTTGGGGAAGGCAGGCTCAATCATGCTCCATCACTCATGGCAAGGGGAGCTGGGACCTGCCTATTTAACAACCAGTCTTTTGAGGAAGTTTTAAGTGTGCAAACCTCAGGTTTTTAGATCTGAGATGCTTTCAGATAGAAAAAAGAGGCATTTCTTGGATTATATTGTAGGTGTCTCCAGGATGAAGACAGCATTGCTGAATCTTTCTGCAGATGTCATCTTCAATGACTTACCCAAGGTTACACAGTGACTAAGTGGCAGAACAAAAAACTAAATTCAGAAATTGTGCTCTACTTATTATCAAGTACTATTCTTCCTCAACATTGCAATGCAAAATGTAATTCAAGTTCCCACAGTACATACAAAGCTCACATGTTGAGTTTTGGCTGTTGCTGGGATGTTTTCAGCACATCTGCTTTCACGTGTATCACTTCTGCAGGCTGTTTTGTAGTAACTACAAAAGGGCAAATTTTATGGTAGCTGTTTTTTTAAGTAACTGCTTCCACCTCAATCTCTATCCACCAATTTCAGATGGGAAAGCACACATCTGAAATCCCTCTTCATCCATCTTATTGAGATCCTACCAAAACAAATCTTCTAATGTTCTGTCATAACCGTGCACAATGTATGCTTAAACACAGCTATACAGAACATTTCAAACCCCTACAATTCAATAAAGAATGTGAATTTACTGTCTGAGAGGACTGGTAGTTATTGCAGCAGAAATGTGTCAAATGCTCCAACACCATTTCCACCTTTCCATGCTGAGAACTCAGCCTTGTTGGCTAAGAGAAGGTTGGGCTCCAGTATGAACACCTTGGAAAAGATCCAGGCCTGAAAACCAGGCTAATTTTAGGTCTGTGATAAAATACAGTAAGCTTTAAAAGCTATTAGAAAATCTAATTGACGGCTTTACATTCACTTACACGTTTTATGAGGTTCAAGCCACCAATTCCTGCTGCACCCAAATTGCCAGTTTTTGTTTTTCTGTTTTTATCTTGGGAAACTGGCCAGGGTACAGGATATCAAAACAGCCACAAAGTTAGTCTGACCAAAAGGAAAGGATTCCTTTCATTGTTCCTTTGACAGTTACGGGATCTGATCCTTTGATGACAGTGGATTGAATACTCCACTTTAGACACTCAGAGGAGTTTTACTGATTTCTCATCATGCAGTTCAGTCTACTGAAGATGATTTCTTCTGAATACACTCAGTCTATGATCCTGACAGTTATTTTGCCAAATCAGTGAGATGAACTCATTTTTCCCCAAATAACACATTTCCTGATAACACATTTGAGGAGTGACCTAGAATTACTGCTTCTCTCATGGATTCAATTTGCATCTAAGCATCCTTTGTCATCTAAAACCTCGGGAAGTTTTTATGTTATACATATTTTCCTTTATATATCTAAACATCACAGCATAATGGCACTGAAATCAAGCTGCTGTATCCAGTTGCAGTGCAGTCACACCATGAGATCATAAATTGCATCATATTACAGGCTTTATATGCAAAGATTGGCAACATCAATTCTGGTCTGTCTTTGGAAGTGACAGATTTTTAGGTTGTCTGGATTTTTGGTTTTGTTTTGGTTTTGGATTGTTTTTGTTGTTGTTGTTCTCGTCTAACAAATTCATTTATCTGTTTTTAAGGCTAGGATTTTTAAAAGAAACTTCTTCTCTCAGACAGTCAAAGGGAATCTATCTCTTATCTTCTTTGAAAGGCCCAGTTTTCTCTTCCCCTGTTTTGAATCACCCAAATTTCTGTTTCTAAGCTAGGAGTATGTAATCTTAAAAAGGAGGCAAACTATATAAACAAAAAGCAAGAGCTTCATTCCTTCCCAGAAATGCTGGGTAAGCCTCTGACTAGGAGAAATTCCCTTGCAGCTTTAAGTCTGATGAGTATCTTTGCCTGAATAACCACAACATCCCCTCCTTATCTGCCTGTAGTCCAGGGAGCATCCACCCACTCCCCAAATGGGGGAATAAGGAAGGAAAAATCCTATAAACAAGCACTTTACTTCCCTGTTAGATTTAAAAACAAAACAAAACAAAAAAAAAAAACACAATGAAACCACAATAAACCCTACTGATTTGGCTTATACAGCTGATTTTGAAGCTCAGAAAGTATCACTGCTTTGGATTCAAGCTGTGACTGCTCAGCACCATGGAGTGTCAGCTCAAGTGCCAAGACTCTGGTGTTGAGAACTGGCTTAATACTCTCAAAATTTTAGTGAGCAGGCTCATGTGAACTCAAGAACTTAACACACCAGAGGAAACTATTTGAATGCTCTGTAGTTCAAGAGCTTGTAGGCAAGTCAGCACATTGCCCAAAATAAAGCCAGTAAACAGAACAAAAGCCCAGGGTTGACTGCTCTTGAACAGATGATCTTTATGAATGAGATGAACGTTTCTGGAACAGTAAAACCATTGAAGCTGCCTCCACAGCTCACACATTATCAATTAACAACAAAACAGAGTCTCTATACCCAAGTGGAAAGAAAATGCCTCTATGGATTGCATGTGGGTATTGCAAGCAAAATTAAAAGCTTGATGAAAAGTAGCAAAAGATCAGAGAATCAGACCTTCCTTTCAACTTGTGGTTAATATTCATCCTCAACGAAG